TTTTTTTTTTTTTTTTTTCCCCAATTCTAATACCAACTCTACTTCTCTGCTGAGTTTGATAATTCATTGCAATGGCCACACAGAACTCAGAGACAGTACTTAAGACTGTAGGGTTTATTAGGGAAGTAACAGGTTACAATTTAGGATCAGGAAACAACTCAGGGTACAGTTCTTCAATCAGACAGCTTCTTCTCAGCCATGCCACAGTATGCTTCTCTTTGACTGCAGCCTCTCCCTTGCTTGGACCAGTGCTGCAAAGCTCTTTTAGCTTTGGCAACAGGCCTCCAAAGAGGCACCCCATTCCACCATCAAGCCTCCTGCCCAAGGTCACTCAGCTCTTGATCCGTGGGCTAGAAAGCTCACCATTATGCCTCATGCTGGTCTCTTGGTTCTGCTGCCTCTGTTGCAGCAGTTTGTCTTCCACATCTCTCTGCTGTCTCTCTGCCATTGTCTTAACTCAGGGATGTCAGGTCTAACGATGTGTTCCACTCCCACCTCTTCTCTTTTGATGTCAGTGAGATCCCCCCTGAGCCTCTGGAATGGCTCATTTTAAGCCTTTTGTTTGGTCCCATTAAGTCACCTCTGAATCATAGTGAATCTGTGTACAACAGAACAATTCTACACCATCCTCGGAATCTTTGCTATGCTTCAGCACATTGTTGCAGCCACTATGCCAGTCCATGTCATTGAGGGTCTTAAGAACTTTACCAAGCATGATATCCTTCTCCAGGGAATAGTCTCTTCTGACAGTGTGATCAAAGTAGGTGAGATGAATTCTGGCCATTCTTGCTTCTGAGGAACTTTCTAGGAAATGCACTTCTAGGAAAGATTTGTTCTTCTGGCACTCTATGGTATTTTCAGTATTCTTGGCCAACATCACAATTCAAAGGCATCATTTCTTCTTTGGACTTCCTTATTCATTGTCCAGTTTTCACATGCTTATGAGGCTACTGAAAAGACAATGGCTCTGTTCCGCCCACTTTAGTTTTCAAAGTGATATCTTTGCTCTTTAACACTACGAAGAGGTCTTTTGCAGTAGATTATCCCAGTGCAATAGGACTTCTGATTTCCTGACCGCTGCTTCCATGGGTGTTGATTGTGGATCCAAGTAAAATGAAATCTCTGACAACTTCAGTCTTTTCTCCATTTATCATGATGTTGCTTACTAATCTAGTTATGAGGAATTTTGTTTTCTTTATGTTGAGGTGTAATCCATACTGAAGACTAATCTTACTAATCTTCATTAGTAAGTGCTTCATGTCATCTTCACTTTCAGCAAGCAAGGTTGTGTCATCTGCATATCCTAGTGAGATGACAAAATTGACCAGTCCCCATGTTAGGATTCATACACCTTATTTCCGTGGTTTTACCCCATGTATGTATTTATATTACTGACAAGCTATCCAATCCCCTTGCTGGGCCACAAAACACCTCATGTTTAGATACTCCTACCCTGGTGGGACTGATGAGATCCACAATGACCATGGCTAGAAGAGCCATATTAAGTAACTCACTGTGTACTGTACGATATTTAAAATTTCCTTGAATTACTTTTTGACCAAATATAATATTCATTATGTATTTGAAAAGAATATTTATGTTCTCCAATCAAGGTATACCTATTAGATCATCCTTGTAACTGTGGTATTCAAATCTTCTATATTCTGATGTGTTGGTTGGTTGGTCGGTGGGTTTTTGTGAGGGTTGGGTGGATGGACTGCTGTTGTTACAGAGGTGTGTTTAATTCTCCAGTTTTCATGGTGGGTTGTAAATGTTTCTACGTTGTTCTGTCAGTTATTGTCTTACATATTTTGAAGCAATATTGTATTACATTTTAATTTAATACTGTATCATTCCAATAACTTTTTAAATTTAATACTGTTTTTTGTCTTAAAAATGTATTTTGCCTAATGTTATACCAGGAGCTCTGATGGCATAGTGCCTAAGGCATTTGACTGCTAGCCTGGAGGCTGGCTGTTTTTTTGTTTTTGTTTTTGTTTTTTTGGTAATGTTATACCAGCTCAGCTTTGGTTAGCATTC